GTGGTTAGGCAGCAGGGGTGCAGCACAGGGAAGTCTCTGCTGTTAAACAAATTGCTGGGGTTTGAGTTTTTATAAAATCCACGTGCGGGGATGGGCGTATCTGTGTCTGAACACGTCCTGGAGAGATCACTGCCCAGGTGGGAGAGAAACTGGTGGTGGCAGCCAGCAAGGATGGTGCTTTGGGACGTCCTGGGGAGGTGGGGAGACCAGGGATGAGCTCAGAAGCAGTGATTGGCACAGTGATTTTCAGACCTTTAAGTGTCACCTGAACAGTGGCAATTTGAAGTCATTTCTGTGCAATGAATGTGTATTTATCTGAACGTCTCCAAATGTGCACTGCGCTGATAAGAAGGAAGCAATACAAGTAATTATTTTGATCGTGTAAATCAGCTGTTATTGTACTGAGACTAGTGCAACAGCTAGCAGTTTCCAGCAGTGCTGCTGGCTGGCTCTTTCCTCTTCTGTGTCCTTAGACAGCAAATAAATGCAAGTTTAGAGAGGCTGAAAAGAACACTGAAGTGGTAGTTTTTTGTTTTTTTTGTTTTTTTTAATCTACCCCACAGAACTGTAAGTAAATGAGGGCTTTACATTGTGGATACTGCATGGTATCCAAGCTGGCCCTGAGTTTAACTCCCTTACTCGTTTATTTCTCCTGTTCAGTTTTTCAGGTTTTTTTGGGTTTTTTTTGTTTGTTTTACTTTTCTAATTGAAAACCAATGAAGGAATCAGGCCTTTGTTGGAGCTTAAGCAGTGCCAGCCTTCTCTTGGTCGCACCAAGCATGGGGCTCTTCTCCAGCTCCACCTGGTAGATGAGCTTGCAGCAGGCTTTGCTTCCTGCAGGGAATGCTGCTGAGAAGCAGTTCTCTTCCTGGGTTTGTCAGAGCACCCAGGCCGTGCGAAGTGTTGTTGCAAATCTCTGTGCTTTGTGTTCTAACTCAGGGCTCCTCTGCATCACTTGTGGCACTGGGTCAGCCCTGGAGAACCATCTGTCTCCGCCCATGAAAACCACAGGAGTTCTTGCAGAACAACTCATTGTGTTGATGTGCCTACCTCAGTATTTGAAGCAATGAAACACATCCCCATTCTGCTAGAGAGCAGAACACGTGAAACAGTAACCCTGGAGAACAGCAACTCTGCGTGGCTTCACAGCATCTCACAGTGAACCTCAGTTATGATATTCAGAGGGTGAGCTGGGGCCAAATTTAGCTCCATGATGCTTGAGTATCAAGTAAGGCCTTCCTAGCATCTTCCTGTGCTGAAGCTCCATTTTCTCCATGAAGGATGGTCTGGATGCTTTCTGGCCCTTGCCCTGCAGGCACCAGAGCTTGGAGGCTTGCCCAGCAGCCCTGCTGACTCCTGCCCCAGTGCTGCAGGCCAGGGCTGCCCATGGTGTGTGCAGCATTCCTGCCTCCAAGCAGGGCAGGGCTGTGCATGTCTCAGCACACTCTGCCACTGCAGTGTGACGTCAGCAAGGTGGGGAGGAGTTGGGTTATTGCCTGTGTTCAGGATCCAGGTGTGGTCGTTCTGTGTTAGACTTGCTTTAACATCATTTATTCCATCGTGACTGGATCCCAAAGCCCTTCTATGCCACCCAAGATGTACATTTAAATGCTTTGGTGTCCTGATTTCATGTAGGTATATTCTAATGAGATGTAAGTGCAGAATCTTCCCCCTAGCCAGCACTCGTGTGAGGACTTTTCTACTTGCGTGGTCTAAAAACTTCAGGCACAACAATTCAGTTACATCAGTACAACAGAGACAACCCAAGGATTCTCGCAGCAGATCTGTGCTCCCTGCAGCACTTACTCTGAACGAGCTGCTTCCCACAGTCACTGCGGCCACTGGCCCAAAAAGCTCCAATGGGAGCACGACCTGTGGGCAGACAGAAAGCTCTTTATTGTATAGCTTTCCATGTAGCTACTGTTGTTTGTGCGAGTGGGAAGCTGAGGTGAACAGTGAGAGATGAACTGCCTTCAGGTTGTGCAGTGCTGGGATTTTACCCCTCAGTGCTACCTGGCCTGGGCTGCAGTTACCCTTTCCTCCTTGTTCAGCTGCTTCGTACAACCGAGTATGGGCATACTGAGTATTGCTTCTGTATAGAAGAAAAAACTATTACAACATGTGGAAAAAAAACAAACAAAAAAGAGACAATGTTGCTTGATTTACTTAGATAAAAGCTATAGCTTTTTTCTCCAGAACAGAAACAGCGGCAAAAGGCAGAGATAAAGCATTAACAGCCCGAGCTGGGGAAGCCCAGAAACCTCAATTCAGCCCAATAAACGAGTTCCAAGGTTTTATGAGAGGAGAACTAACAGCAAGAGCTTCTCTCCAGGGAGTTCTGGGCGGGGATGACAAAGAAGGCACATTAATGCCTCAGATTTCTGAGCTCTGTACAATCTCTTCAACTAAAATAATAAAGCTGCTTATCACCTAGATATTTTCTGTATGAAGTTTCCTTCTGCTTGCTGACAGTTACCCACAGCTGCTGGGCTGTGCTTTATTCACTTCAAGGGTACATGGAACACGTAAAAAGAAAAGGTGTTCCCTAGCTTTGTGATAAAACCTTTCAGATACAACTTGATTTTGCTTAACGCTGTCAGAGACCAAATAAAGCACCTCTTTAGATGGATATAGACTTTGCCTTGATCACACTGCCATTAAAACAGGTTTGTTGGGAATCGTTTGTAAATGGGCAGTAATTGGAACCACTGTTACTACTCTGCCCGTGACACAGTACAGGCATGTGCTGGAGGTTATGTGGAGCTCCCACTGAATGCAGCTGCTGTAGAGATTCTCACTTTGAATTCGATATGAAGTGTGTAAGTCCCTCCAAATGTAATGCTTCCTTTTTATTTCCATGGAAACTACAATGGATACAAAGAGCTCGATAACACTATTCAATAGTGCAAATTGTCAGCTACAAACGCTATTTTTTCAACAGTCACCGCTATTAGCAATGCACTTCCATCACTGATGAGCAACAGCCTGCGTGCCATGCTCACAACAGCCTGCGCCAGCAGAGGTGCCCACTGTCACCAGCGCTGAAACGCACCACCCACTGCCTCACTGTGCTCACACACACTCTTCACCTCTCCACAAATATTCAGCAAATGTTGATGAATGTCAGACTGCAATGTTTTCCACATGGAGGAATTCAACTGCTCACCTTTGCTTCATACGCACTTCCATTTCAGATGCCATTCTGTCATTCTGCCCTTCTGCTGCCGTTTGCCACACAGCAAGAAAATGTGATGGGATACGGGCAGGAAGGTTCGACCTCTACTGCTATACCACCAACATCTGCCTCTGATGTTGTGGGCCAACATGATAAAATGGGGAGGCATTACTTTCAGAGCAACCCTCATATATGTGCCTTTCTATATACATAGGTATATGTATTTTTTGTAATGTCTGCATTATACTTGGACAAAGAACTTTGCTTACACACAGAAAAGTGTCTGCTGTTACAGATATCTTGATATCTTTACTGCAGTTACAACGGCCTTTGAAAGCCCGTAAGGTATTCCTTCATCCTTCAGTTACAGCCCTAATCTAGCTTCATTGATCAATTTTCCTCATCTTTGAAAAAGTCTTGGTATTTTCACTTCAGTAAAGCAAGCAATGATCTGACTGAAGGACATGCTGATATAAGAGTATTGGTAAAGTGAGATTTACAATACTATTCACATTTGCTGTTGTGTTGTGAAGCCCACAGCTTTCCTGCCGCAAGGCTCCTGTAGAACAGACAAGCTGGTATTGAAGGAACGATGAGCTATGTGGCTATTTTAAGTCCAGGCAGACAGAGTTCAGCTTATTTGTTCCTGGAAACGTGGCTACAGCAGCTCCCTGTCCTGGAGAGCAGATATGGAGCCCTCTGTCACATTCAGAGCTGGAACTCCAGTCACAGACAGGCAGCTGTGTTTGCAGAAGACTCGTTTCTAAGTGAATATTTGCTGAAAAAAAAATGAGTAGGACTTCTGTTTCCCTTTCCTTTCCCTTCCCTTCCTAAATGAAGGGAAGTAGAGTTTTGCTTCACTTGCATCCTTTTGCATACTGATGTTTCTGTCATTAACTACACTTTTTTAAAATGAAAATTCCTAGGGACCCCTTAAATAGCTTACATTATTTTGGGTCCTTTGAAGACACCAGGAAAGCAAATTGTCTTTTCAGTTACAGGAAGGTATTATCTGAAACTGTGTAGGTCAGTACTTCACAGGTTTGCTCCATTACTCCACTGCTTCAGAAAAGAACTACAGGAGCTAAGTGAGAAAGAGCGAGCCGTGACACAGCTTTAAGAGCTGACTGGCAGTAAGATGGTGTTTGGAAAAACATTAAATGATGTGATTATTTCAGGTCCTCTCTGCAGCATAAGCTCCCTTCTGTGGGTTCGATGGATTCCGAAGTGTTGGCAGATGAATGCTGTAATAATTCCTGGCCCTGGCTGTCTGCCCTGCTCCAAATGTCTGACCCTGAGCAGCCAGAAAAGGGACAAGTTCCTCAGCTGCTTCTGAGAGGAAAGGCCGTGGGGAAACTTCCACTCCTTCTGGCCTGTTGTGAAGGACGTGAGAGCACAGCACCAGCACGGGGTGGGAACTCTTCAAGTGCTGCACGAGGCTCGTGCTGTCAGCAGCTGCCACTCCAGGGCCACGCCAGCCCCCGCTGTCCCATCGAGTTCAATTGTTTGGGTGCTAATTGCAAAGTGCTTGGATGTGCCACTGGTTGTTCTGAAAACTGTGGCTATAGAAAACAATGCTGTTCTGGTCTTCTAAAATTAATGACACTGTGACATGATGTAAGCACGTTCTGTACACACAAGAAGGCTAATTTTCCCCTCGATTTCCCAAGGTGAACAGATTGGCTTTTAATGAATTGCAAGAGAAAAAGTAATAGCAGCAATAATTGCATTTCACTTATTTTGTAGACAAAAAAAAAAAAAAAAAAAACAGTATAAAGATGCCTAAGTGTTATCAAATGTTTTCAATTTACTCTTGGCACACTTATTTCCACGCTTGAGCTAGAAACTGAACGGACGCCAAACCAAGGGAATGGGTGCATGGAAACCAAGCTGGTGGGGCTGTCAAGAACTGAAATAACGTTTCAGAAAGCAGTACTTTTATTTGGAGACATCAGCAAGGTTCTGTTGCATTGCTCTGGTCAGCAGCAAAGAGCATAAAGCCAAAAGCATTTGATCAGTCTGTGTGCAGCACTTAGGTGCAACAGGATGGTGTATTTAAACGTTTTGATTAATAATCCATTACGTTCGCTTTAATTTCATTAAAATGGCAATATGTCTGTAGTAAGCAGTACTCTGCCAAGCTTATCCTTAATGTGTGTTGGACACTGAACTGATACACGTCTGGCATTTTTACTGTCATGGTTTTGCCTCTTTTGTTTTTTATGGTCTTGAAAATGATCACAGATGTCCCTAAGTACACACAGAATGATAGAGAGAAGCACGTCGATCCAGTTCCCACAATCCATTTAAAGTCTTCTGGAAAAACTCAGCTCCTATTGTCTGTGCACTGTGGGTTCCGTATCCTGCTGCAGCCACACAGATGAGTGATTCCCACAGAGGCTCTCAAGCTCATAAATCTCAGAGCAGCCACTGCAGGGTGAGGGCTGCCACACAGCCACTGCTGTACCGTTCTGTTGCAGTCTGGTTTTGGGCAACGTTTTTCACAGAATCGTAGGGGTTGGGAGAGACTTCTGCAGATCTTCTAGTCCAGCTCCTGTTACGCAGGAAAGGGTTGGGCGGGTTTTGAATATCTCCAGAAGAGGAGTGTCCTCAACCTCTCCAGGCAGCTCCCAGCATCCTGTCCTCCTCACAGTAAAGTTCTTCTTCACGCTTCCTACATTCCAGTTTGCGTCCAATGCGCTGTTGTTGGGCACCACCGAAAAGAGTCTGGCTCCATCCACTCCGCTCCCACCCTTTAGAGTGATGAGATCACCCCCCAGCCTTCTCTTCTCTGGGCTGAACAGCCCTAGATGTATCAGCCTTTCCTCACACAGGAGGTGCTCCAGGCCCCCAGCCATCTTTGCAGCCCCATGCTGGACTCTCTCCAGCAGTTCCCTGTCTTTCTTGAACTGAGGAGCCCAGAACTGAACACTGCTTAATGTTTTACTATAAACATATTTATTCTGCTGTTTCTTCTTTACACTGGAATGAATCTGTGTTTCTAAACAGGTATTTATGCAAGATGCACTCTTTCATTGCTTTGTACAGATTTTGCCTTCCCAGTGCTATCAAAGTGTAGTAAAATATTGCGTGCAATACTGAAGGTAAGCCTGTCTTTTTATTGTATCGCTGAAAACAACCTGTTCCCAAAGGGCCTGTATTTACAAAGAAAGACACACGGATATTTGGTTTCAAGGCCATATTAGATGGGGCCCTGGGCAGCCTGGTCTAGCATTAGGTGGGAAGGTTGGTGGCCCTGCATGTGGCAGGGGGGTTGGAGATTTGTGATCCTTGAGGTCCTTTCCAACCCTGGCCATTCTGTGATTTCAATATTTTGGGATGGATGCTCACCATAAGGGTGGGGCAGCAATTTAATGCGTTCTGTCACTCCGCAAGGGCTGAGGGAGGGCTGAGGACAACACCTATTTCACACGAGCCACGCTGCAGGAGGATCGGGGGAACTTAAACACAGAGCCGACACTGGAATTTCAGGCGTCGTATAATTTCCCTTGCTGACAAACGGGCAGGAGATAGCAGCAGAAAGCCTCCAAGCATTAGTCACGCTGCACTCCAACAAGCAACAATTACACATAATTGAGTACTATGTCACCTCGCTCTGCCATCGAAATTTCACAAGAGCGAACTCATAAAAACCTGGCGTTGTGTTTACAAGCAGAACGTGCTGCCTGGGAAAGCAAAGGAAACGCCGCCGTGCTGCGGGCTGCGCCGCCTCTGGGCCGCGGGGCTGGGCGCGCTTCGCAGGGAGGCTCCGGGGGCCGCGCCAGTTTCCTCCGGGCGAAAGCACGAGGGCTTCCCCCTGCCGAAGATCGAAGCCCTTGGAAGCGCTGTTCTTTTGTTTCTCAACGCTCCCGAAGCTGAGAGTTTGAACACGCGGTGTATCTCATCCCAAGCGCACGCGTGCCGAACGGACCTGACGTTCCGCCGGCGTGCAGCGGGGACTCGGGGTTTTAAAGCCTGCAGAGCTGGCACGAGGCCCACGCGCTCCTGGTTTGGAGAGGGACGACAAGGCGGCGCCGTGCCTCGGCCAGGCGGAACGCCGCTGCGAGGGCCGCGTCTGGGTGCCAGCAGTGAGGTTACCGTGCCGCCCAGCAGCAGCAGCTCGAAAGGAAACGAGGCGCGAAGCAGGGAAGAAAAGAACAGCGCAACCAACGCCAAAGCCGAACTCCGCGCTTTATTCATCTTCTAACGCAGCAAACACAAAACTCCACACGGCGCGCCGAGCGGCAGCGACCCGACAGACAAAGGCCGCAGCGGGAGCTGCCCTGCTCGTCAAGGAACGTTCCCAGGGAAACTCGCCGCCACGGGCGGTCGCTTAACGCGTCCCAGCGCCTCCCCGTGACGCAGCCGCTCGCGCCGACCGCCGCCCTGCCGGCCTGCGCTACAGCCGGCCGCCTGGGCTTGGGGTTATGGCTGGAGCCGGGCCCCGCCCCGCCGAGCGCCGCCCACCCCGGAGCTGCAGCGCCCGCAGCCCCCGCTCCCCAACTACGCACTCAGCCGAGCTCACCGCCCCCAATCCCCTCAGAGCCCGCCCCTTCCCCGCCACGCCATTGGCCGGTCGCGCCGTCTCTCCGGCGTCGCCTCCGCCGATTGGGCGAGGAGGGGGCGCCCCCTCTTCCCTCCCGGTTCTGTCGGTTGAGGCGAGCCGAGAGTAAATAGAAGCAGGAGCGCAAAATGGCGGAGCCGCCGAGCTCCGGTCGTGGCGCGGCTTCGCCAGAGCGGGAGCTGTTCTGCGTCAGGCCGGGCCCGGACGCGAAGGCCTCCCGCGGTTCGCAGCCAGCCTCCAAGAAGCTGAAGGGAGCCGACGAGAGGGGCCTGAAGGGCGCCAAGCGCGTCAACGGCGAAGGGGGCGGCGGCGGCGGGAGCGGCAAGCAGCAGCCGCTGCCCGCGGCGGTGCCGAGCTACGGGAGCCCCGCGGCGTGGAGCTTCGCCGCGCTGCCGCCCGGGCCCTCCGTCAGCGCGGCCGGCTTCGCCTTCCCCTCGCCGCTGCCCCGGAAGCTGCTGCCGCCCGCCCTGCTGCTGCCGTCCGCCGCTTCTCCCTCCCCGTCCTGCCCGCAGCACCGCCACCACCGGCACCGCCCGGCTCCGGCCGGAGAGGCCGCCAAGCCCAAGAGGCCGAAGGAGAAGCGAGACAAGGAGAGGAGGAAGCACGGAGCGCTGCCCGCGCTCGGAGATGGCGGCGGCGGGGCCCTGAGTGCGGCGGGTCGGGAGGAGAACGGCGAGGTGAAGCTGCTGCTGCAGAAAGGTGGGCGCCGCGCCGGGAGCGGCGGGGCGGGGCGGGGCGCCGGGGGCAGCGCCGTGCGCCGCGCGGCGGGAAGCGGTGTGGTGCGGGGCGGGAAGCGGTGTGGTGCGGGGCGGCCGTGCCGAGCGGGGAGGGGGGGGCGCGTGTGTGCTCCGCGGGAGCGCGGGAACGGAACGGAACGAGCGGTAAGTGCGCGGGAAGGCGGCGGCGGCCCGACCGTCCTCAGCGCTGTCAAAAAAGGGGGTGTGGAATTAGCTATGGCGTCAGGCAGAAGCCGCCAGAGGCCTGGGGTTTTCTTACCTATTAGGGAAGTCAGGGTGTCTGGTGATTGCTTGGAGATCTGCGAGCAGAACTGAGTTTCTGCCGTTGCTACGGAGAAGACCGCATGTTTACGCAAAACATATTTCTGAAGAATTAAAAGCGATCTCATTGATTGGGCCGTTAATTTGACGGGCGAAGTCGTGGCGTGTCAGAGAGCGTGCCCTTTGCGTTGAGGCGTGCTGACCTGCGCAGCTCCTGCAGCTGCTGCCGGGGCTCCCGGCCGCCCTCGCTGGCTGGAAGCTGCTGGGCGATGCTGCAGGGCTGGGAGCGCTGCCTTGGCTCCTTCCTGGGAAGGACTAAAACTGCCGTTCCAGGTGGGATAAGGCGTTAGGTCGAACTTGGTGCTGGCAGGGACCGACGGTGGGTGCTTAGGAAGCGCGCAGCAGTGCGCGAATCTGTTTTTATTTCTAGTATATCCTCTCCCGGTCTTCGGTGACCTTAAAGCAGATGTTGGTGCGATTGCATTTATGTTAAAACCGAAGAACTTGAAACATTTGCTCTGGCAGAGTTTCTTTCAAAGGAAAGGTAAATTCTAGCACTCACGTAGGCCGAGCTTGCTTTGGTTTTGGCTTCTACGTTGTGCTTCCAAGGTGAGCCAAATAGGTGAAGATGAATTCTCAGTATGCTGCTTTTTGTCCAGCTGCATTTTCTGCTAGTTCCTACTAGTATCTGAGTCTCTGATTCAGCTTTAGGTATTCAGGTTACATTTGAGATTTGTTTTTTTTTTTTTCTTTTTTGAATTGTGTGTGTTCTTCTGGTTCACCACCTTATATGCATCTTCCTCTTGGGGTCTTTATTGCTGCTGTGCAAGCAGGCTCAAAGTGCATCGCTGTAATGTTTTCAAATATTTCAGTTCTGATGTGCTTCTTTTTCTTCATTGTTATTTGAAAGATGAATTATGAAAAATCTTTAAAAACGATTTTTATTACACACTTAGTGTTGGTGAAACCTTTTTGTTTCCACGATAGCTGCTGAGAAACTCCCACTGTATCTTCCTTGCCAAAATATGGAAATAATAACCATATTCACTTGGATTGCAATGATGTCCCTACGCCACTGTGCTAATAAATCTCTAAGAACAATATTACAGTAATGAGATGAAATATTCTTGCAAGTTGGTGAGAGAAATGATGACACTGATGGTGTCAATGGAGTCATTATTTACCGTGGTAAAAGCCTGATAGAGAACATCCTGTAGCAGGGAAGGATGCTTTTTGTGACAGGCAGGGTGCTTAAAGTTCTAACTGCTGTTTGCTCAGAACAGGTGTTTTTAGCTTTAATTGGTTTTTGAAAGCCTGAATACGGGCAACAAACAATGTTTTTCCAAGGCAAACGATCCCTTTATGGCATCAGGGTCTCAAGATTTGTTTAGAGGAAGCGGTTTCTGTAGCTATAACTTGGTGACAGTTTTGTGCAGGGTTGGAAAACTTTGTATTCACTGAACTGCGTATTTTTTTTTTCAGAAGTGAGGGGTGCGCTGCGTTCTCTGCTGTGAGCATCCTGCCTTTTAGAAGTGGCTCCATATTGGACTGTAGATTAAAGATCAGGTTTGTGCTGTTGATAGTGTGAATAATTTACTTTCGAGGAAGGAAAGGAGGAAGGCAGTTATGATGCAGGGAGAAAAAGAATGACCCAGGGGAAGGAGGGAGGACATTCAGAATGCTCACTGCAGAGGAAGATGAAGAATGATATGGTAAGGCAGGGGAAGGATGGCGTGTTCTAGAAGAGGATACCAGAGGATTTTGGGGTGCAGCAGTATTTTGGAGTGAGTGAATTTAAGATCCTTCCATGAAGGAAGGAGAAAAGCTGTTCAAGAGGGAGGTGATTCTGATCTTGGTATGGGGTGAAAAGCTCGTACCTAGATGCTGTGGGAAAGCAAGGAAGGATAGAGGAAGAGGAGGATGGGAGAGAGAAGTGTAGGCAGCCTGCAGGTGTGATGATGGTCAACTTAAAGGATTTCATATAATTAAAAAACAAAACAGCCACAAAACCAAAAAAATCTGAGAGGCATGCATGTACAGATTATATAGGGAGAAGGTAGGACTAAAATGCGTCCCTCCTAAATGAATGAGTTTGTAAAAGCTGTCATATGTGCAGCTGGTAATACTTTCTAAAAATCAGCCTAATGCAGGCAAATGCAGTCTGCTTTTTTTTGCAGTCTGTGGATAGACAGCCTTCTTTGCTTGCAGTGCCATGGAAAATGAGCAGCAACATGGGATTGGCAGTACTGTTCTTTCTTAGCATTCACAACTGCTAGATACGTCAGGTTCTCGCCTGCCAGAAGGGAAATGGTGCAGCTTAGGAGGCTGTGATCTAAAAGAAATGAAAGTGATTGAAAAATAAGCAGGTGGGAAGAGGTGAGACTTCCATCGTTGCTACGATGTTCTGAAGGTGCAAAAACTCCACTGTCTCCTTTGCAACTGAAGTGCATGTGGATTGCATGTAGGTACAAGAGGTGCAGTGAGCTTAGTGCTGAGGAGGCTGCTAGGAGTCGGGCTTTTGATCAGTGAGCTGTGTGCCTACCCTTCTGTGTGGAGCAGTTATTGAGCTGGGAGAAAAAACTGGCAAAGGAGGAAGGGTCTGGGTGAGCTAAGAGCAGGGAAAATGAGGGTTCTCCTGACTGTAGTGCTGATAGCGTGGTGTGTTGACAAGAGGAGGAAATGGTGAGGAGTTAGCTCTTCTAGAGAAGATAAAATGGTAGGTGCAGAGTATGAGAGCTGATGTCCTTGGCCTCCAGTGTGGTTCTGAGGCTGCAGAGCCTGGCTATGAGGTGCCCAAGGTGTTGAGCTTGGTTATGACATAGATGGATGATGCCTTTGAAAGGTGTTTTCGTATTTCCTTTCTTGAACAAATGTTCACTCAATGTTTCTGATCTTTTCCTTCACTGGAAGGACCTCAAACTTGCAGAGTCATAGCCGGGCCTGCCAGCCTGTGGCTGGAGCAGAGCAAGTCTCGGGGTGATGGTCTGGCATGCAGAGAACTGGGAAGAGCACTTTGCCATCTGTGTAACTTATCCTGCAAATGAGAGATTGAGTCTGTCTAAAATAAGCTTAAATTTTACTTGGCCAGTCCATTTTGGATCGTGGAATTAAAAGTTATGTAACTAGTGTTGTTTTAAAAACACGGTGTGAATCTGATGGAAATGTCTGCCTTACCAGTTTATGGCTATACCAGTTCAGTTAGTTATTTAACTGATAGTCTGCTCGAGCAGTTCATAGTTGAAATAGTTTTGTTAGCAGTGCAAAGCTCAGATGAGCCACTCCCCACTTCATCAGCCTAGGGCGGCTTGTTTTTGTGTTTTGTTTTGTTCCAGGCTTACTGCAGGGCCCGAGCCAAATTCATCAAACATCTTCTCTGTTTCCTTGCCATTTCTGCATACAGCTTCCCTCTCTCTCCTTCGCTCCTTCAGTTTTTTTTTTCAATGATGTCTTTGCTGATAAGACTGCCTCAGTATGCAAGCAATTACAAAACGAGATTGGTATTTTTAACTTGCTGATGGGGTTTTCCCATGTGAGTAAGAAAGCAAAGCTGAGCATGGTTCTGTAGCTCGCAGTATTTTTTTTCTTCCTCCTGCTGCCTTTGAAACATAGATTAAATAGTATTTTAGAACAATTGCCAGTGATTCTTCGGATAACTTTGTGGCTTTGACTTGCGTGACAATTCTGGTTTGTAAACCTGTAAAACATAGCGCTTTTCAGACTTTTTAAAATTCAGCTTGCATCTGGTAGAGACTCTTTCATGGTCTAAATTGGGTTGGAGAAAGCTTTGGATATTATTCTGTTTCCCTGCTTTAGATCTGTGGCCATCATCTGATGAAGTAGGTTGTCTTTTTCCTTCTGCTAAATGTTACCTTTTTCTAATCTCTTCTCCTTCCTTTTCCCTGTTTTTTTTTTGGTACTGTCCTGTTTAACTCAAACACCATCTTTTCCCCCAGCTGCTCTCAGTTCAGCAGTCACATCCACGCTTGTGAGACCTCCTGAGCACTCTCCTCTGAATTCTTTATTCCTGTCTGGATACACCACGTCCTTTGGTTGTAGAATCGCAGGTCGTTTTTCTCACTCAAAACGAGATGAGTGGATTGAGTGGTCAGACCTGAAACCTCTTTGCAGGCTGTGTTTGCAGCTGCCACGTTCTCTGCTGCTGATTTCTGATGCAATTCCCCAGTGCTTGTGCTTCACATTGGCTCATGTGCCGCTGCGTGGAGAAGGTCTCCTTTCAAACTGCAAAGATCAGAGGAATGGTGGAGATGAAGCTGAAAGTAATTGCAGGTTTTTTTGTTTCTGAAAATGATCTTCCTTCCCTCCCGTTTGTGGAGGGGTTGGGGAAATGCACTCAGCTGGCAAGGGGATTTCTTTAGTCATGTTGTGTGTTTTAAACTTGAATTACTGAATGGCATGTCTATAAAATATTCCTTTTTTTTTTTTTAATAATAAACCGCTTTTTTTGTCTCAGAAATATTTCTTTTTGTATGATGAGTCATGAGTGTGCTCAACGACAGTACAGGAGTTGTCTGACTGGGTACAAGTGCAGGTGACAAAACCGTTAGCGTGGTTACATTAAAAGCACGTAACGTGTCTGTGTACCACATTGAGGTGAGTTTTTGAGGTTTTATTTTATGGATATTTGCATTCAGAGTAGGAGAGAGCAATGGAAAGATGACTGAAGGGCTGCCCTCCTCATCC